ACACACACACACACACACACACACACACACACGCATATACATATATACACAGTCATGGTCAGGAGTATTGGCACCCTTGGAAAATATGATCAAAGAAGGCTGTAAAAATAAATCTGCATTGTTAATCATTTTGATCTTTTATAAAAAAACAAAAAACAAATATCTAACCTTTCATTGAACTAAAACAATTGAAAATGGGGGAAAATCTCATTATGAAATAAATGTTTTTCTCAAATACACGTTGGACACAATTATTGGCACCCCTAGCAATTCTTATGAGTAAAATATCTGTGAAGTATATTCCCTTTCATATTTACAATTTTGAGCACACCAGGGTGATTATGAACATGAAATTATTCAGCCATGGCTTCCTGTTTCACAGGAATATAAATAGGAGGAAAAACAAAGACCAAATTCCCTTAATCATCCATCACAATGAGAAAAACCTAATAATATATTTCTGATGTGCAGAAAAAGATAATTGAGCTTCATAAATTAGAAAGTGACTTTAAGAAAAGAGCTAGAGCAGTGAAAATTCCCATTTCCACCATCAGGGCAATAATTAAGAATTTCCAATCAACAGAAAATGTTACAAATCTGCCTGGAAGAGGACGTGTGTCTATATCGTCCTAATGCATGGTGAGGAGGAGAGTTTGAGTGGCTAAAGACTCTCCAAGGACCACAGCTGGAGAATAGCAGAAAATAGTTGAGTCTCAGGGTCAGAAAACCTTAAAAAAGAAAATCTAACAGCACCTACACCACATGTTTTTTGGGAGGTTTCAAGAAAAAAAATCAAGAAAAGAAAATGCTCTCATCCAAAAACAATCCCCAGCATATTCTGTTGTCAGACACGACTGGAACTTCAAATGGGACTGGCTTCTATGGTCAGATGTAACTAAAGAAATTCATTTTTTCCAACAAACACTCAAGATGGGTTTGGTGCACACAGGGATAAAAAGTACCCCATTTGTACAATGAAATATACTGCTGTATTTGTAATGTTGTGGGCCTATATTTCTGCTGGAGGTCCTGGACATCTTGTTTAGACATGCGGCATCTTTGATTCTATCAAATACCAACAGATAAACCAACTGACTCTGTTAGAAATCTTATAATGGGCCATGTTTGGATCTTCCAACCAAAAACAAACCTTAAAAACAACACAAAAATGGGTCACTGGGCACAAAACCAAGCTTCTGCTATGGCCATTCCAGTTCCCTGACCTGAGTGTGGTGAACTGAAGAGGAGAAGCACCATCATGGAGCTGGGAATCTGAAGGGTCTGGAAAGATTCTGGATGAAGGAATGGTCTCTGATCTCTTGTCAGGTGTTCTCTAACCTCATCAGGCACTATAGGAGAAAACTGTTATTATGCCAAATGGAGGTTTAAAAAAGCATTGAATAAAAGGGTGCCATTAATTGTGTCCAATGTGTATTAGAGAAAAACATTTATGCCATAATGATATTCCCCCTCATTTTAAATTCTTATTCTCCAATGAAAGGTTAGATTTATGTGAATTTTTTTTAAGTAAAAGACCAAAATGATTAACAATGCAGATTTATTTTCACAGCCTTCTTTGATCATATTTACCAAGGGTGCCAATAATTCTGACCACAACTGTGTATATATAAATATATATATATATATATTAGAGAAGCGAGATTTAAATTATTCAGAGAAAACATTTTAAAATTGCAACATGTAAGCTCTAAATAGCAAGGGGAAAAAAATCTGAATTCTGAGTTAATGTCTCGCAATTCTGAGTTTTTATTATTTATTTATTTTCTCAGAATTGTAGGGGGAAAAAAGTTATGGTTTTATTTATTTTTATTTGGTACCATTTTCTATGAACCCTGTATTTGCAATGCATTTTACAGGTATTCTGAATGCATAATGCATACATAATGCAGGCTTCATAGAAAGTGTTATCTTTCATTCATTCATTCATTCAATCAATCATGTGGCGTAACAAGCTTTTATTTACTCTTACTCTATGCCTGAAAGTAATATTTAAGCTGCAGACTAGTTAGCTATAATTAATATGGCATTCTAATCATCTGTCAGTTAATTTCTCCCGGTGTGTGTGTTTCCAATCATCTATTATTATTCTGTATATAATACACCAAAAAAAAAAAAAAAGGTTACCTAAAAATGATAACAATGGCTTATCATTTATAATATCTGGCTTTGTTCAAGTCAAATATTATTTCACATCACTTAACCAACCTATTAAAAATAATTTGTACCAACACAGCTAGTTTTTATGGGTTAAGTTAGGTAGAAAGGCTCTTTAAGGTAACAATAGCAGGCTTTTACAATGTATGTATAAAGAAGTTGGCATTCCCAGAAGTCTTTGCATGACTTTCCATGTGTGAAAAGTCAACTTATTTATTAATTTATTCGCTTTACGTTATTTTATGTCATTTAAGTTTATTGTGTTTCATTTTAGTCGTATGCGTTCGTCACTCTAATAGTGTTTTATGTTGATGCAGCTTAATCGTGTCCTATTATAATTACTTTTTTTTTCTTTCTGTTAGGCAATTTAAATGTCATTTAGATAGACTGAGGGAAGTCAAGCTAAGTCACAATATTACATCTCATTTTTAGTTAAGGCATATATGAAAGATACTAATAGATATTAAATAGGTATTTTAGGGCATCTTACAGATGGATCATTTGCGTAATAATATTGCACTAGCCTCAGGTGGCACACGGCCGATGTTAACACTGCTAAACGTTTCATGCAAAGTGTGAACACCAGAGGCAATTACGAAGACCATCATTTAATCGAGTCTTTATGAAACTCTATCATATGAAGTTAACTCAGCACATTGTGTTAAAAGAGCTGTTTTTCAAATGCCAAGACTTTTTCAGCTCCACACCGTCACCGTAGCTGTTGAGTTGTGCATAAAAGAAAAGCCACTCTACCCATGCAAATATTTGTTTCACATGTGGCCCTGCACTTGAGAGGACACTCAAGCACAGATCTGTGGAGTTAAAAGTGTTTTATGTTGATGCAGCTTAATGGGTGTCCTATTATAATTACTTTTTTTTTCTTTCTGTTAGGCAATTTAAATGTCATTTAGATAGACTGAGGGAAGTCAAGCTAAGTCACAATATTACATCTCATTTTTAGTTAAGGCATATATGAAAGATACTAATAGATATTAAATAGGCATTTTAGGGCATCTCACAGATGGATCATTTGCGTAATAATATTGCACTAGCCTCAGGTGGCACACGGCCGATGTTAACACTGCTAAACGTTTCATGCAAAGTGTGAACACCAGAGGCAATTACGAAGACCATCATTTAATCGAGTCTTTATGAAACTCTATCATATGAAGTTAACTCAGCACATTGTGTTAAAAGAGCTGTTTTTCAAATGCCAAGATTTTCTACGCTTCACGCCGTCGCTGTTGAGTTGAGCATAAAAAACAAAGCCACTCTACCCATGCAAATATTTGTTTCACATGCCCGCCCTGCACTTGAGAGGACACTCAAGCACGGATCTGTGCAGTAAATGGCGTATTATCATCAGCCCTGCTCACACTGTCAAGAAAATCCTCTGGAGTCACACTTTACATTACAGCGTTCATGTTACACTGTAATTGCTATGTAAATACTGTAATACTAATGAACAACAAGCACTTAAAGCATAATTGTTTATAGCTGACTCGTTTCTTTTCTGCAGTATCATTTGAACACTATGACATTAATATGATTGTGTTGCTTGTGAGATTAAATGTTTAGAATGATACAAACCAACTAATATCATAAAATTCAGTAAATCCATATCCGATTCTTAGTTGCTGGTAGCCATTAACTTCCATAGTGTAGAACAAATAATATGGAAGTCAATGGCTACAAGAAACTCTGAGGCTACCAACATTCCTTACAAAACAAAAATATACAGTATATATATATATATATATATATAAAAAAAATACAAAAATTAAAAAAATAATAATAATAAATAAACTTTACAATATTTCTAAACAAATTGCCAGTGTTTGCATTTTAGAAAGTGCATAATAAAAATGGCAAGAATGACTGACACCAAAGTACTGAAATTATTTAAAATTCACCCTACATTCACTTAACTGTGATATTATGATAAAATACTATTAATATGAGTTCCATCTTTTAAAAATCGTAATTGATATATAATTAACTATATCTAGATTTGAACATTTATTGCATTATTACATTTTTGTAATAATTATAAAAATGCTGAATTGAAGAAAAAGTTTTTCATTTATTTATTTATTTGTTTGTGTCGCTCGTTTGCTGTAGACAATCCACGTTATCCAGCATGATTTGAGAATGTTCCAAAGAGCATCTTGAGCTTCAATACAAATCTGACCTTTTATACAAAGAAGTGCACATGGACAATATCACAGACATGATTAGTGCCTTAGAAATAGTGCGAAATCTGAAATTCGCATCATAACGTTTTACATTTCAAAGTCCTAAAACTCTTTATATCGAAGCTTCAATTAAAATAATCACTGATCTGATACTTTTGGACCCCTGTTGTATAGGCTATATAATCGAGAATTGTCAGTGCACATCACAGTGACCCTGCATATGCCTGGCGGTTCTTATCGCCATTGCATTTCTAATAACGCGCAATATGCGAACCGCGCAACGCGGACGGCGTAACGTGAAGCGTTAGTCCCCATCCACACTGACGCGGGACTCCAGCCCGGCTGTTGCGGCATCAGCGGTAGGAGGAGATACAGAGGGGATACAGGGACTCCTGCAGGCTGATTTCAGCAGCTCAGCACTCGCAGGTGGAGACGCGCACCGACCCGGAGCTTCGTCTGACAGCCGAGCGCGCGCACTCACTCACTCACTCGACCAAATTAATAAATTAAACAATTAATACAGCGAGCTCGTGATCAAACCAACTACAATGAGAGCAAATCTGTCGCAGTCAGTCCAGTCCTCATATGACTCCCAGCCATTTAAAATTTGATGAGTTTTTGGAGAGCTCCTTGGATTGATCCCAGTGTTTTCCAGTCATGAAGAACAGGAGGGAATATGTGGAATACTGGAGCGTGATTATAGTGTCTCTCTTCTGGATTCACAGCTCTGCCGGGATGCCCCATGTCATACGGATAGGTAAGAGAGTGCGTAATGGATACTTACTCTTTAACTGAACAAACGAATGTTTTTAGTGAGTGTTGAAAGTGCTTGTGCTGGTCGTTTGGGTCCAACTGCTGTCAGTTTACATTTTGCATGTAACAACTCAGTGGAAAATGAGAATAAATGTCTTGCACGGAGCTGTTTAAGCGCTGGAAATTTAGTTGCGCGTCCATCAGCATGCCGTGCGTCTGAGGAACAGATGGTGCTGCATCGATTTCATGATCTCACAAACATCTCACAACCTCTAAGATATTGTTTTAGTGTTAAAATTGTAGCACGTTAGAAATGAGTGACATTTGGAAAGGACGCTGGAAATGAGGCGTTTCTTGTCAAATCCGCCTGAAACACAAGTTCACAGTCTTAACAGGTGATCCAGGAAACGTTGCGCCGAAGTGTGCCTGGAAACCTCACCTTTACGCACCGTGTAGCCAGACTGAAGGTTCTCGTTAATACGGTCAACAATAGTGCACTCATGCAATCTGACAAAGAAAGATTTTTCTCAGTCTGAGAAACTAAAATATGTGTGCAGCATAGAGACAGGAGCCCAATAAAGATCAATACAGTTTTGTCTGAAGGCAGATCACTTTTGACAAGTGGTTCGATGCCATGCAGAAAAATGGCTCTAAATGTCATTATGAGACATTAACATGTCCAAGCACAGCCTCAACAAATAAGAGACAGTGTTGCATCTGTGCCGTTAAAACAGAACATAATTTAAACATTATACTTAGCTGCTCCATTTATACTTACAGTTTGACTTTTGTTTGATGTAGTTGCATTTTTACTTAATTCCATTTTACTTTGGCACTAAATGCATTTTTTTTTCCAACTAGGCTACATTTAGTCTGAAAGATTTACTTTGATGTCAGCCTCCGTTTTCAGCCTTTTTATTCTTTGAAATAATACAAAGAAATACACCGCATTATGAGGACTCTGTTTCTTTCGTACTGTATGTTCCGGTTCTCCCCCACTACGGATGTGATTGATGACTGTGGCTGTGACTTCAATGACATTGTGCTTGAGATTTGTGATATTTGACAGCTCAGATCTATGTATTTTTTTGTTGCGGCAGTGTAAACGGAAATGTTTTCTCAACAGCTGCTTTCATATTTCCACTGCACATTTGAAAGGAAACAAATACGACAGATCCCTGCGAAATCTGCTTTTAAAATGTAATAATATCTCTTAAACAGACACGATGCAATTCAAATTTTGTATCCTTTTTGATCAGTGTGCTGTGGGTACTTCTAAAGTACCCTGTAAATGTGATTTTCAAAATGCATGACTTTGTGGGAGTGCATATATAAGTATCGCCTGTGCTTTTCTCTCGCACAAAATTTGCGCAGCGGAGTAACTAAAGTCTGCACGCATGATGCTATGTGTACAGGCATTCGGTGGTACCACCAGAGGGCTTACTGTTCCCCCGCGGGCCTGCGTGAGGTTTTGTTTGCCACATCGCAAGCATCATAGCTTGGAGATTCATTAGAGAGGCTTGTGTCCAACGAGAGCAGGCAGGTTGCAGGGGGGAGGCTGTATGCGCGTCCGCTCGCCGTGTGCTAGCTTAAGTGTTACACCATCAACACGGCTTGTGTAATGGTGGGCATCCACAGTAGACATGCCTCCATTGATTTCACTGTTTTTACAACGCACTTCTCAGAGGCCAGATGGTCGATCAAACTCACTCCGCAAGACTGTAAATGTCGAGGGGAAGAGCGTTTCTGCTGTGCCTGTGTGTTATTAGCTGTCTTGCCCTCCTGCTATGAAACTAAAATGGGAAACGCTTTGAAAAGGACAATGCGGTAGCTCATTATAGCATTACGACGTTTGTTTGTGGCAGAGCTGTAGGATCTTGCAGAATCAAAGTATTTAGATCTGTGTTGTTTGGAACCGATTGAGCACTCGGCATGGATTGTTTGGCATGGCAGAAACTGTGATCCGATTGATACGGTACTGAGAAGCCTGGAGTAGCTGAGCAATATATAATGCATCACCAGTGCAGGAGAAGAATCGCAAACCGGACGATCTATACGACCGTGCATTTTCACATATGTGCTGAAACGAGCTCAGTAGGGTCACGTGTTTTTGTGCTTCGCCAAACTGCGTGTCACATGACAGTCGTCCAGATCCAAAAACAGCCTTTGAGGTCAAACTCAATGGGTTTTCAATACCCAGCTTGACTTTTCAGTCTAGTTTGGATTCGCAGCTGTCACTCAAACCTTTCAATATCGTCCAGGGCAGCTGCAGCCTATCAGAATCCACTCCAGTTTTGGCACGAACGGCTCTGGACCTCATCCAAATGTCACTGCAGAGTAGTGCATATGTCTTGGAAAATGATGACAAACTCTCAAGAGGTTTGTTTTTTTGTAATCCTAATTTGAAGGAATTTATTTGGCGTCGTTTGACCTTTAGAAAGAGCCAGCTGAATGAGATTTTTCTAAAACCTTGGTACACATTTACACACACGGCTTCATAAATGTAGTATATTTTTAACATGTTTTTTTTTTTAAGATAAGCTTGTGCATTTAGGCTGTCTCGGTTGTTTATAAATTGAATGCCTTTAAATGAGAGAATCAGCGCCAGAGAAAGATTTATTGAAAAATCAATGGCTTTATCAACCTAAGAGTTACAGTGCTTCATTATGAACAGTTAATCAATCTCACACACGGTTTTGAAACTTTTTGTTTTTGCTTTCCATCTAAAGAGACATTTTCACATATTCTTATATAAAATGTCAATAAAATCATGCATTGTTATCTAAGAGAGCTTAATCTAATTTCATCAAATAATACTACTAATATTTGAATTTTTATGTAGTCAGTTTAGTAGTATTTTATATAGTAACTGAATCATTCTAACTGTCTTAAAATCTTACGTAAAAATTCAGTTAATTTAGCTGTTGACCACATGAAGTGCAGTTTTAGGTTGCCTGATATTTTGGTTCACGGCACACTTGAATTTGGAAAAGATTAAAAAAACTTTTTTTTTCAAATGGCTGCTTCATACTCTAGAGACTCTTCATTTAAAACACAAATTAGCTGCAAATCCACATCACATGTAGCAGCAGAAAAATCCTTCTTTAGTGTATTTGACATATATAATGATGCTTCATATAACAGTATCTCAGCACTTTGGATCTTTTACAGCAATTAAAATGTTCTTCACATTAAAATCACATGATAGTGTGTCCCCTAAATGTGTTTCAAGTGGGCGACTGTATTTCCGCATGACAAAAGAGCACAGGAAGTGGAGATACATTTCTAAAGAAGCTTGACAACAAGAATTGCGCCATCAGTAAAAGATGGCCATCAGATGCACAGTGAAAATGATTTTTTAATTTTTGTGCAAATTTAATCTATAAGCTGTCGTGGGCGCGCTTAGACAGAATTCTTCTGGCAGAGACTAGAGGTTGATGCGTCTGTGCGGTGTGTGTGTGTGTGTGTGTGAAGTGCAAGACACTGCGCGGAAGGGTTCGAGTCCAGTGCACAAGTTCTTTGATGTCCGCCGTTGTCTATTGTAGCGGAGATGTGGGGAGACAGCAGCGTCTCACACAAACAAGACACACACACACACACACACACACACACGTACATACCGAAATGCATGTGGTTTGTACGCATGCACACAGCTGTGTGATTTCACTGAAGCTGTTGTACATGCGCTTCCATTTACAGAGTCAGCACACTTCTGGCCTGCCGATTAGCTTCAGTGCCGTTAATGAGAGCGAGCAGATGTCGGTTTTGTTCACATGAAACCCTGAATCAAATGCTCCGTGCTCTCTTCTCTCAAATCAGTGTCACTCTGTTATTCTGAAGCTGAGATCTACTTAAAGACTGACTACACACACTTGCAGGTTTTTGCATAAAGGTTTTTGCATAAATGCAGTATACACACACACACACACACACACACACACAATAAGCTAATGACAAGAAAACCAAATGGTGCATAGTGACACATCATGTGGCATGATTTGATTACATGTTAATGCAGCAGAAAATCTCCATTACATGAGTTTGAAGCTTAATCTGAAAATCTATACATTAGGTAGAGTATAATTATGAGAACTTGAGGTTTCGGGGAGGGTATGACTTTGACACACCCGAAGAATTGATAATCAAGCATTTTGATTTGAAAAGAAGGCATGGGTTGGTTCTTAAGCAGGTATGACTGTCTTATCACAGCTTTAAGAATCGAAATAGACCCATTTTACTTTCCTAATACACATTCCTGTCTTTATTTCTCTTTAAGCGTGTTTGTGATTGAAATTACTTTCCTTTTTACTATCACCTAGTTTATACAGGCTCTTGGTTAAAGGAGACATAGGCAAATAGCTATTGCTTTATATTAATGTTTTAGGTCATTTAAAATCTTGGCAATAGGGTAAAGTGAAGTGTGTAATATGTGCACTATAGTACCAGCATGGACAAATGGATATGCACTCAACGGGTTTTGCATTTTCAAATAGATTTTTTAAAAACAGATTTGCCTCATCTGCAAATGGTTGAACAAATATGTAGTCTCACACCATTTGTTGAGTCAGTGTTTCTGTCAGTTTACAAATGACTTACTTATTGTTGCCTCTCCTTATTAAAGTTGTGAAATGGAAATTCACCCTATTTATTTTCTAAATGCATGCTATTGATCTTATTGTGAATGATTCAGCCATGCATATGTTTTATTTTTTCCACTGTAGTGTCAAAATGGCACATCTTAATCTCCCAGTGAAACGACCAACTTCTCTCGGGTGACATATCAATCTTTTAACCCCTTTTATACAGTCGACTGCAAGTTCGCATCCAGATCTCCCTCCATCCAATCAATAACCAGTGGATTGAACTACCACCCTACTTTTTTTCTTTTCGATAATGCATTTCACTCGAATGGCAATAACAATATGGAAGAAAACATTGGTTGCTATTTCCATTAAATCACAACTTTAAGCTGGGGTAGTAGGAGAAAGCATTTAACAAAAAAAA